CAGTTTACCTCAGTGCTGTTAATAATCTGTTTTTTTCCACTTTACGCAGATAGATGCATCAGCATTTGGTTTGAAGCTTACTTACATAGGACTGCTTGTTAACAGAACACAAGGCCTTGCATAATTGTTATGCATAGAAACATATGTACGGTAATTACCACAGCTCACCAGTCACAATAACGCAAGGTGCTTGTCAGGTTTTTGTGTGATTTTATACTAGATTTGTGCATGAGAAAGGAATGATCTTAATTATTTGTGTTTAGATAAACAGCCATTAATATTCTCTAAAAATGACTGCCAGTGCAGATTTCAGAAAATCAAATACTTAAAGGGTATTAAAAATCCGTCTATATTAATACTGTCTTCCCAATCAGAAGTACTGCCCTGGAACTGAGAGGTTAGCAAAGAAATGGTTGTCGCAATGCACACTTGAAGGGCCAGATGCTTCAGTTGACCGGGATTACATAGACGTTGGGCTGAACTACGAAATGGTTGTAGGTAAAAAGCCTACTTTGTCGAAAATAGTGCGCAAATGGATCAAAGAACGAAAAAATTATGTCTATGCCAATAACACCTGCACAGGCAATTGCGACCATTACACTCGGGTGAGTTAGCTACGTTTTTCCATAATTTAGTCTACATTTTTGGCTTCAAATTGTAACGCACTAAGTTACCTTACTAAGAATACTATTTGAAAAAAAACGGAATTTTTGATGACGGTGCCTCTCACTATTGAATGTAACCATTTGTTGCTTTACAGATGGTGTGGGGATGGACAAGTCTACTGGGCTGTGCAATAAATCGTTGTGACAACCTACAAACTAATCCACGCAAGCCGGTTCATCTTGTGGCTTGTATGTACGAAGCAAGGTGTGTCTATTTTCCTGAGCCCTGATTGTGGCACCGCAAGTAATTGGTTATCTCGTTCGCAAAACCCATATTTATTATCATACATTTCAGTGGAAACTATCGTACTGCAAAGCCGTATACTGAAGGCCCCAGCTGTAGTCGGTGTTCGAGCGAACATCGTTGTAATCGAAACCAATGTTCGAGATATTGAGCTCTTGGGAGATCCAGCGCCATATCTTCTAATATTATGACTCGAAAACACTTCAATCGCTATTCCTTCCTTTTCCTCAAAAATTTTGCAAATGCAAAATATTTCTGATTTAAGCATTTTGCATCACGTATCTGACGCTAAAACGTCACATTATTTCATTTGATTATAAGCAGTTTTACAAAAATGTCATCCTCTTCCAACTTTGTATCTGATTTGTTACATCTATGTTTCTCTTAGTAAATCGAACATGAGCATTCTTTTTAAGGAAATTCTAGTTTGATAATTTATAATAAATGTAGAATTCCAAATCCTAATTTTCTACTCTTTTATATAATGCCATTTATTAGCCCTACGCATTTTCAATACTTCCAGCTCAAATAATTTTTGAGATGAAATCTGGATTAAGAGCTGTGTTTTAACTGCTACAACTGACTTCAGTTCTGCGAATTTGTTATGCTGAGCTCTGTAAGGCCTGATCTCAAAAATGAAGGCTACTGGCGTCATATTTATGATGTAGTATAGGGCACAATCACAATTTATTAAAGGATCTATTACGAAGGGTTTGAAAAACTTTTATCTGTCTGACACATTATTGTTTGAATCAAATAAGATTTCACTCTCGGTAAATATCAATCGTAAATAGAGCTATGGTCTTTTCTGGAACTATAAATTTGGTTAGCTACTAGGTTAAGTGTTTGTTCTAAACAAATGAACATTTTCATGGTTAAAAATCAGTTCATAAAATGTCTTGAATCATTTTAATGAACGTTGCATTATGTCGAGCCTAAACCGTGCAAATTCTAGAATCAAATAGCTGCGTTTGAAACAAATGCCTTGGTACGTTAGAAGTTCTCGATAGGTGTGTGATACAAGGCAAGTCAGTACTCTCTTGTTAGACGAACTTATGGTGCTTGCCAGTATTACCTGACGGTACTGTATTTAACAGTTCTTTAGGGCCTCAGAATTCAGGCAAGACAGCGACTTCGAATACTACTGTGTATCAGCATTATGCTAACGACGTGTGTCTTTGTGTGCGGATGATGGGTGACAAATTACAGTGGCCAGCGAAATAATGGTAGGCAGTGGACACCATGAGATCAGCTAAGAGACTTAATGCAGGCCCAATCGCTGACAATCCGCTACAAATACTCACTCATGGGAGTGTTAGCGGGACGTGACCAAACATGCTGGAAAATTATTGAACGAAATCAGTGAAGTGAACTGCGTGTCTCAGAGCACAATCTAAATCGAAATAGAGTAATGTGGGTTTACTTCAACATTCCCTTGGTATGGAAAGGAACATTACTGTCATTGGTACAAGCAAAATAAAGACGTCCTACACCCACAGTAACCAGTGATCTATTTTTGTTATTGGAAAATATTTGTCTGCGCGTTCTACCACGTTCCTAAATTAAACAGTAAGGAGAGCCAGACATTCGCAAATTTAAAATAATCACGTACATAGTGGTTGACAAAAGCATGAAAACTATGTAATCTGCATGGTAATTATTGTTTTGCCTACTGCTGGATACTGCTGTTGTCTCAGTCGGTGGTTTTGAACCATCTGTGAGGTGGCGTTTGTCAGATTCTTGTGGAATAACGCTAACCTCAGTACAAGTGTCAATCCAACATTTTAATCCGCATACTCAGTATGGGATGTAAAATATACGACCAGATTAACTGTCAAAGACTGTATTCGTAGATTCCGGTTAGTATTCATGATTACCAGAGGCTCCTTTGTGAGTACAGAAACGTAGGTATGCGCATGAATATGTCTTGTCTACATTGCAGGGATGACGTTAACATGACTTAGGACACATTGTGACCTCTGTAGGTTGGTAGAAAAGCTTTGTGGAGGATTGTTGTCGGTTTGATTTATTTGAGAAAAGTTTCTGGTTCTTAATGAGAGTTAACCATTTAAACTGGCACAAATAGATTATACTTGTTGAAACGCTTCGAAAGGTATGAATGTACTTCCTAGTCCTTCATGAAAGTACACGTGAATTTTGTCGGATATTTCTGCGAATTTTGCCGAATTTATGTCTCAGCTCTGCATCGCAGCAATTATTTCTGAGACTGCAGTGAGGCATTTGGCCCATAACTGGCGCATAACAAGGTGTTTGGCTTTGC